TTATATACAAAAATACATATATATATATATATATATATATATATATATATATATATATAAACCTTAATTTGTACTTATTCTGAATCAGAGAAAGTATGTATATATTTAAATACTAGTTTAAAATTATTTTCAATAAAAAAAAACGCGTGTTCCAATATAAAAGAAACAAAATTTTATGAATTTATAATAATTTTTTTTTTCAACCTGAGTTGAGTTAGACTCAACTGATTCATAAAAACACTCCATCACACAGTTGTTTCTCTTAGCTATAAAATATGCTTATCATTTCCCTTGGAGAGAATCCATTCTATAGTTTACAGTTACACACATGCTCTACTTCTCAAAGTTTTAACTGAGTTTTCCATGGTTTGATGGCTACCACAGAATTCCCGTGGGAAGTCTTAATTAATCTTTGAACGGTGAGCCACCTTTCAATTCAACCGTCAACAATATTAAGTATGCCCCCACAAGCGTTAATTGGGGCCCAAATTTCCACAATTCCACTAGCGGTGGACCTCATATGAAGCTTGCCACCCCAACAGGGCATCATGACCATGCATCATTTTCATTCTATCATTCCACTTTAATTACCAAATATACTCCATCAGAACTAACCACGCTCCTCACTTGGTCACACTACTCAAAATAGAAAAAAGAAGCTCATGGAAACTTTGTGGGAGTTGGAAGATAAATTGAAGGTTTCAACACTAGGTGCTGTTCTTCTACTTGCTTGTGCAAGCTTTGCACTTGTGTGCCTTTGCATTTTTATTATACTTGGAAGAAAGGCCATTAACAATAAGATTGTGCACCAAGAGGGTGTTATAGATGATGAAAATGAAAATGAAAATGCTACCACAACTACCAGTACTAGTACTACTACTACTACATCTTCAGAATGGTCGGAGCCAAGTTGTGTGGGGTGGATTTCAGTGAAGAGGGTACTCATGGGGTCAATGTTGTGGAGCAAGGCAAGCAAATTGGAGGAGAACATTGCATGGCAGAGAGAGAGGGGGTCCCCATTGCTTGGCTTACAAAGGCAGGGTCTTGAAAGTGGGTGGCATAGCCATAACTCCGATTCACCAGTGTGGCAAAGACCAATACTGAGGGGGGAGAAGTGTGAGTTGCCAAGCTTTAGTGGCCTCATTCTCTATGATGAGAAAGGGAGACTTCTTCGTGATTCAGAGAATGAAACTCACTTCATGGAAATTTCACAACAGGTAATTGTTTATCACCTTGGTACTCGGCATATAGTATACTGTATCGAAAAAAAACTCAGGTTTCACATCCAAATAAGACCCATATAAAGTATATAAGTAAATATGGATTCTCACCTTACAAGTCACTTTTATAAAATAGGCTCAAAGCTACATTTTTATAAAATGGGCTCAAAGCTACATTCTTGAAATAATGAAATTCATACTTATAGATGGAATGACTCTTCTCAGACTCCATTAACATGATGAAATTGGAAAACAATGGCACCAGAGATATGTGGTGGCCAAATAAGAAATAAGTAAAATGCATGCATGATATTTATGTACATTTCAGCCTAGGCAAAGTTGAGATCAATATGTAGCATCAGACTTTAATAAAAAAGTAAATGCCCCTGATATAACTTGTTCTGTAGCTGCATGTTACAACTGATGAACTTACCCCCAATCCAGATAATACCACAATGGACCAAATACCAACATAACAGCAGGAGATC